ACGTTTCTTAGAAGTGTTCGGTTGCTAGGACAAACCTTCGTGGATTTGTGCGCGCCACTCAGTCTCCGCCTCAGTTGGTGGGGGATAAAGCACGTGAATGAGTCGATCCTCCGCCAAAAAGTGATGCATGGTAAGAGTCCGTGGTAGAGCCCGATACTTGGTCAAAAAGAAGACCAGAGCAGCCAAATATTGGTCCAAATAGGCTGCTACGGCGGCTGTCAGAACGTGAAAGAGATCAGGTCTTGTTAGGCCGCCCTCCTCATCGTTCGCATTCAGCTGCAATAGCGTGTCCACCCGCAGCAGGTGAGAGCGAGAGGGGGAGCTATGAGGACCGCGAATAAGAGCCTGCGGTCCAGCACCATCGGCGTCAAGGTCGTACTTAAAGTGTGCCTCAAATGTGAGTGGATCGGTGACAGAGTTGTTCAGCATCAGGGGTTTCACTTGTGCTCTGCTGAGATTACACTTCTCCTTGGAGAGGCAGCAGCAGTCGCCGTGGAGGAAGATGAGGGAGTCCAGAGAGTCCTGTAGGCGCTTAAAGATTTTTTCCAGGCGTCGCTGTTCCCAGGGAAGACAGCGTGAACCGTAGTTGACGAGGAGACGCACGCAAATGCTGTCGGGTGCCGGGGCCTCTGAATAGGACAGCAATTCCATAGCGGTCTAGAAACGAAGAGTAGAACGGTATCAAAATGGCAGTTGGACATATAAGAGAGGGAAAACGGAGGAAGGTACGGCTGAGACACAGTTCTCGCTTTGAAAGACTTCACCACTGAAGTAAAGGTAGTTAGAATTCATGAAACACTGCCTTTGGTCGCTCTCGGCACTTGGTTTAAGACAAGTAAAAACGTTTTACCATAATTCCAGTTAAGAGAAAATCGCTGTCCTAGCGTAGAAGGTATGTGCTGAATAGAAATATACAAAAAGAATATGAAGTCTAAAAGTTAGCACATTAGATTTGCATAGGGAATATATGTATTGTTTTTAAACCACGACACACGCGACTCGTTTGTTGGTATTTGTGACTGGTATGCGATAATTTAGGGGTCGCAAATATAGTTGCATAATTACACAACCATCTTGAAAGCACTCCATAATTTGGACAGTCAGCAGACCCAGTCACTGGTTTGACAAAGGATAAGGAAACCTCGGCTCTTACGCTTCTAAACGAAGTGTCTACGATGTACATAGCAGCGTGATCCAAAGCTGTCTGATAGATGGTGAGGGTAGTTAAATTTACAGAAAGAAGCAAGTTAAATTCACTAACCTTAACAACGACATAACTTTTGGCGCGGCTTACGACCGTGAAAGTGATCCTATCAGTAGATCTGATTCGGCACCATTAAGATCAGTTAGCTATCAGGCTTCCCTTCCAAGGGGAGTTTGAAAAAGAGAGGCTGACTGGGTCTTTACTTTGGGAATTTTAAGACAACAAAAGTGTATGACGATCGGAAGATGCGAAAAAAGTCGCAATTAGCTAGTGCTATGATCGGTCCTCGTTCACAAAGGTCTTAGGTTCATTGCTTGTAAATGAGTACAACCGGAGGTCTGGTTTGCCGTCTAGGCAATCAGCCAATGTCGTTGAACTAAATATATGACTTATAATATTATCCTTGAAAATAACAGACTTGTAGAAGAACCAGATACGTTGACTTAAACGGTAGAAAGAAGAATTAACTAGCTCTTCGTAAATTTTCGGTGGGTCTGCTTGGTACAGGAGAACTAGCTGAAGAGAAGAGTTCGCGCTGGGAAAGCCATTTAAACGCACGCGCTTTTAGCTTACGATAGTCGGCATAAGTTCGCATAACAAACAAGCGGATGAAGAAAAATGTTATACTAGAGGCCGATGAAAACTCTGCATTTCCAAATGGATGACAAGGCAGCTAAACTCACCAGATTCGCTCCACGACAAGGAAAAACAGAACGGTAAGAAGAGATAGGGCCTTAGGAGGGATGACGAAAAGCTGAAGCTGCACTGAACGATCTCGCACTCAACATGAAAGAATTGCAATTTCTGCGAAATCGTCAGCAGATAAAAGTTTGACTAGGACTGACTGACATTTTGGGTTTTCGGTGATGAGTACAAAACACCACTCTAATAAATTCTCCAACTGGGGAAATCTTTATACTTAATAAAAGTGAGTTGTCTGTCTGTCGCGTGTGCCTC